TGGCATCTTGTCTTCGACGACCTCGAACAACTTGTTGGTAGGTCCGTCCTTTTGGGCCGAGACTGATCCAAGGGTCACTCGTTAGACGTGCCCTTGATCGTCTTAATATGTCTGGTGCTCGTTCTTCGAGTCACCACGACCTTTGACCTGAAAGAAGGTGTCGTGGTTGTATTAGCCAACGCACTCCTTCCAACCGCACCAGGCCCATGGCTTTGTGCCGGTTCTTGTGACGCTTGACTTCCTGTCAGCTTACTATCAACTGCCACAGGCTCTCGGCTTTGCGAAGTACCATTGGATGCATGACAACTTGTTATCCTCCCATTCACTACACCAGTCTTTTCGACCTGGTAGGAATATGTGTCACCTGGCTTTCCGCCAGTGCACTTCCAACTACACCACTCTTTTCGATCTGGGTAATTCCTGGCGTCGATTGACATACCGTCATCGCATCCTCGACTGTGTTGGACACAGCATCAGTCACATAAGCTTCTCGCAGGATCACATCCTTTTCGGTGTCCTGCGTAGAGTTAGCGACTGTGCGTGTACTCCAATCTATCCATATTTGGTGCTTAGCCAACCAAGGAATGCCTAGGATGAGGTCATACGGACTCTCCATACCTAGCACTGTGAACTTCTCTTTACAAGAGAAGTCACTGAAACTGAAGGCGAGTTCATCTTGAACTTCCTCCGATTTAACGAGCGCGCCGCTCGCTAACGAACGATCGCCTCTTCTCGCTTGCCATCCTGGCAAAGCGACTCATAACTCGCCGGTCTCTTTTTCAGGGCCGCAAGTTTCACAAAGTTTTGTGATACACCCGAATCCACGATAAGGGTCATCACTTGGTCGTAGCCTCGTACTCGAGCGCTATAGACCAAAAGGGTTGAGGTCCGACCTTTCGGAACCTCAGGGACTATGCTACCCATTTGTTCGATCACTCTGAACTTAGGGGTAGCTTCAGAGTCCGCGACAGTAGGGCATCCCGCCCCTACTGCGCTCCCGCATTTCCCGACCCATCTTGGGCAGGTGCTGAACCCGTGCGTCGTGCACGCTGGTTTTTCGCACCTCCCTTCGGGTTGGGCGACCTTTTGCTGGCTGCCTTAGCACCAGCAGCTACTTTGACATAGCAGAGAGCCATCATATGGCCTCGCTTGCCGCACTTGTAGCAGATCACATCTGCATTGCCTAACTCCATAGGAGTGGCATCAGACTTCTCAGACGACGGCCTGTAATAGGCTGTCGCCGAGGCGCTGTTGTAGGATTGCTCCTTAACTAAGGCAATATCAATTGCCTCTTCCATCGTCGCTGGCACCTTTCTGAAAAGGGCCTGACGCGATGGGCCGTGCCTAAGTCCATTCATGAACGTGGCCACCTTGATACGTTCTGGTATCGGTTCCCCATTGATGAACGCCGACAGCGAACGCATCTCCTGCACAAATTCTTGCAGAGAGCGTTTCGCCTGTCGTGCTCCAAAGAAGCGCTCCATAAGCAACACTTCGTTGTTAGGCGGCTGATACATGGCGCGAATCTTTGCCTTAAAGATCGCCCATGATGGAAATGCATCAGCATTAGCCATCAGCGCAGAGTATGCCCACTCTGACGCTTTGCCACGCAATTTAGACATGGCATACGACACCATTCTGGTGTCGTCTTCGATGAGCTGCGCCACTCCACATTGCTCAACTGCTAATAGCCAGTGAACAATCGTGTGAGGGCTAGTTCCATCGAACTTCGGAGGGTCCATCCGAATGGGCCTCGGTTGAGTAGGCCGGGCAGAGAGTGTCTCAACAGTTCTGTTGAGCGCCTCATTACGTGCCTGCTCAAGCCTAAGCTCATCCTGAGTCTTAGTGATGGACTCAGCGGTGGCTTGGCTGTTTATGTGGTGGAGTGGGATTCGCAAAATTGCTGATGCGATCCCAACTCTCCACTGGCGCCCGGACGACCGACTAACGGAGGGGGTACCCCGATTCCGTGTATATAGCCTTCCTCACCTTGTGTACCCGTCGGTAGGGCGGGTTGCTCTCTTCTCGGTAGACTTGAGTCGATGTTGAACTTGATTGTGTTAGGGATAGGTGGGGGGGGGCGATCGCGTGGAATTCCTCACACGATCGCTGTTTTTCTTGGGGTGCTCTGTTTGAGTCGCCCTGATCTCCCTTGAGATCGCCTTGTCCAAAAATGTAGATACTTGATCCGCTTGCCTTCTGACCACTTGAGCCGTCTCTCGATCTTGTATCTGGACTTCTTAGTCCTCTGCGTCCAATCGCAGCTTGAGTTGTTTTGTTGAGAATTCTTGCAATCCCTGGCCAAACAATCCAGGGATATGACTTGCGTAGTAGGTAGACTTCCTTGAGACGTCGGGAGGCCAAAGAATCCAGCCCGGAGAGAAGTCGACACGTGTATTTAGAAGCAAATTGAACTCTGTTAATGGTAACCAATCAAATACCAAAACCTATGATCTTGACTATCTGTAGCTCAGGATCTGTTGCCACGTATCGCCCTTTCGGAAAAATCAGATCTTGTAATGTGGTCCACTCCAATATAGCCGCGATCTGGATCGCTACCTCGCTCAGATATAATACCATTTTAGTACCAGATCGCGGTACTAAATAATTAATATCGGATCGCGATACTAAATAATTAATATCGGATCGCGATACTATAATTAATATCGGATCGCGATACTAATAATTAATATCGGATCGCGGTACTAATAATTAATATCGGATCGCGATACTAATAATTAATATCGGATCGCGGTACTAATAATTAATATCGGATCGCAATACTAATAATTAGCATCGGATCGCGGTCCGCCGAATCACGACTTGTCCTCTTCACCGTTTCTCGGGTCATGTGAGATAGTTCATCAATGTGACGTGTCATGTCCACCTCATTCCAGTCTTCCAAAGCAACGTAATCCACAACAGACCGTATTCCACATACCTGGATGTACCAATCCTCCTTCTTTGCGATCGCGTTCACGCGGATCGCCATCGGAAATACTGGAGATCGCAATAGCGTAGTTCCTAGGCCATATTTGACCCCACATAGAAGTGCAAACTACACCATTCACTGTTTTCCATCCCATTTGACATCATCTTGAAACCTTTCTGCGAGATCGCGACTCATCAATATTGGCTGCGAGATCGCGACTCATTAATATTGGCCATTTCGGACTTAACCGAAAATATGCGATCACACTTTGCGAAATTCACTCCTTCACTTCGCCACATTTACCTCGGACGCGTTTCTACGCTTTCCGAGCACAAACGCCTCAAATCGCTCCTACTGAGCAACATGTTGCTTAAGAGGACAATGCAAGAGGTTGACCAGGGCTTGTTCACCAAGTCTCTGCGCCATATGCTCTGCCAACTCCCTATGATGTTGGGAGAGGTGAGGAAAGTCACTCCAGTCCATATAAAGGACCATCTTAACCACACGCACGCTCAGAGGGACGGGTCGTGGGAAGGACTACTCGTGCTACCAAGTGTAGACGGGCACTTCTACGAAGTTGCCTCGTACTACTAGCACACACCTTATGCACAAGCGAGGAAGCGGTAAAACCGTCTTACCTTCGCGCGCGAGGGTGGTTGTGTGGTGGTCGACTGCTTAAGCAGTCGACCCACCAGTTGCCTCTCGCTTTAAGCGAAAGTGCAACGAACTTCTAAGACAAGAAGGCACCGACGTCACGTAGAAGCTTTTCAGCTTCTCGTGCGTGGTGCTTCGGTGTCTAGCAAATTCAAGACTGAGTTATATTGAATGAATTGTAATTAAACATAACCTAACTACTGATTGGCTATATATGTATATAGATCGGATACGCGACTCTATAGAAGCGTATCCTGACGCATGAGCTTAAATGTAGATTTAAGCTCGCTAATGACGTCCTTCTGAGACGTCGCGATGCCTAGCTTCAACTAGCGTCATCCCTTCTCATGTGAATTCATAAATGGATATCACGTTCACGAGGGTGGATCACGTTTGTGTATCGCACCTAAGTGACAGGCCAAAAGTAATCATGGATACTTTTAGACCAAACATTAAGTATATTACTAAATGTTTACGTGTAACTAGATGCCCTGTTACACGAAGAGCTCCAAATGTTCCATAATGAGCAAACCCGAGAGTCGCCGTCTTCAGTCTGTAAGAAAATCCCGTCGCCTATCAAGCAGTCGGTGACGTTCCCTCTCGTGAAGCGAAGCGCTACATTGACGAGCACACCACTGCAGGACCGATCCAACAGATCGTAGGTAGAACAGCGTCTCTTTCGCCGAAAAATCGTGCTGTAATAGATACCGAACACTTTCATCAATCAGGACCCCGTAATTCGCGACGACACGTTACGGTATGTAGAGCTTTATATTGAAGACGCTGTTTTAGTAAGCACTTTCCTTTGGGAAATGACAGGCAAGCGGACAATCAGCTGAGACAACTTGAAGGTAAGGCACCTTTTTAGGCTTCCTATCAACTACCTCATGAAGAAACGATAAAGAACAGCGGAAGAAAAACCGCACTGACTGTCGCAGTATCTTTAGCTTGTATAATTTGCACTTCTACCTTAATTTCGTCTTTTCGTTTTAGTGAAGTGCCCCAGCAGGATAAAGAGACGTAGTACCTAAGTGTCGAGTTGCACTTCCCTATCTCTCTCGCATGCTCAACAGATAGAACACGACCAAGCAATCCATCTTCGAGAGTTTCTTTTGGAGAGCCAGTTGCCATTTGGTAGGTGCGATCGTGCTGCACTGACTTCCAACAGCAGCAGCAAATAGTAGTAGATGTAGAAGCAGTAATTTAGAAATTCATAAAAACCATCACGAATTAATTTTTATAATTTAAAAAGATGTTGCATTCTGATTAATCAGATTTTACATAATTTGAGGGGGGGGGCTGGATAACAAAAAATGAGCCATAGGGTGTGACTACGATCAGCAGCCATTTTATCCAATCAATACTTTTCCACAGTCTCAAAGAACCGACAAGCTCCATTATCACCATTACTATTATGAATATGAAACAAATGAAGAATGCGTCCAATCTTCATGCAGCTAACGCTACGAGTATCGTAGGCAATTCAATGACAATCCCATCTCGATCGATTGCTACTCATGGTACTGGATCTGCTATCGCACAGCCTCCTGCTATGCCCATGGCCGTCTCTGCGGCCCAGTTGGGTCAGATGAACCTCAGTCATGTACGCAGTGCTGCCTTCAAGCCCGCTGTTCCGATGGCAGGAGCAAATGTGGTACTGCCCAGTGCTGGTGCATCTTCTGGTATCCCCAATACGGCGGGAGATGGCGCACTACAGCTGTCGGGCCGCTGGTCGCTCGACCGTGAAGACTCGGATTCGACCAATGACTACCTGGAAGCCATGGGGCTACCACTTATTGCTCGTCAGGCTGCTGATAAACTGGACCTTATGGTGATTATTAATCAGACATCTGGAGATTTTGTAATTACGAGACGTACTCGTATCTTTACAGAGACCAAGCAGCTCAAGTTTGGACAGGAAGTGAACGTAAAGAACAACCTCATTAGTGTAACGGGTGATGCCGCACAGATCAAGACAGTCACGCAGCTCTCGGGTTTTCGTGGTGTACTCACAGATATTCGCACATTGGACCCACGTGGTCGCATGCATGTGGAACTTAACCTGACATTAGCTGAGAAACCGCCCGTGATTATCAACCGCTATTTCAAGAAAACCAGTGAGTCAACATCTCTGGAAAACCTTCCTGCATTCGATATGAGCCTCGAGACTGCGGGTGATGTTAAACGCAAACGTTAAATCACTTAATCCTTGTTTGTTTTTTGATTTTGTCGCCCATTGACTGTCATGTGCACGCCAATATATTCAACAGGTAGAAGAAAAGTAGATGTAGTTTCTTGCGAATGTATTACTCAGATTTCGCTACAGCTATTAGCGTTGCTGCTTGATAGGATGATGTATCAACAGTAACTACTTCGATCCGAAAAAGAAGCTGCGGTGTACATCAAAGGCGCTGAAGCGTTTTGCTGCGTACTCGAAAAAATCAAAGTCAATCTTTGAGTGAGCTGCTTGGACGAGAGCCCAGTATCCCCAGAACAGGTGCGAAGCAAGCGCGTAGCGGTTCACCACGTCATAGAACGCGTGGAAGAATGCCTTGGACTCACGGTTTGTCTCCAGTTGGGCCAGCATTTGAGGCGCTGCCGAGCTCATATAAGCCTTGAAGAAAGCACACTGCTTCTCAATGCTCGGGTACAGCGCCAAGTCCAGGTCAAAACCGCAGTTTTCGCAAAAGTGATTGGCGAAGTCAAACGCGCGGTAGTTGTAGCCGCCATATTCGTAGTCGATGATCTGCACGCGATCCCAGTCTGGGTTGTGCAGGATGTTGCCGCTCAGCAAATCGTTGTGAGAAAACACGACGTCAGACGCAAAAGCCTCAGCCTGTTTCGAAATCTCGTCCGTGTCGAGAGCGTCCAAAAGGTCTTTGCCGTTTCGATTCTGGTTCGAGGGAAGCACTGACTTGAGCCACTGCAACTTCTGATGCAATCCTGCCAAGCCGAGTTCCTTCAACGCCGAATTCTTGTCCGGGTCTTCAAATTCAAGCTCCATCGCCAGCTTCTCGAACCGCTCAATCTTGGTCCACAACACAGGCATACGGTCCTCCGAGATGTCCATGACGTGCATAATGCCCAGTTCTTTGCCAATCATTTGCAGGTAATTAACGGGCTTGATCTGACCCATCTCTTCAGGATCTAGTGGCCTTGCATCCAACCAGCCTTCGATGCGGCCGTTCTTGAAGCGGCCGTAATACGTGGGGGCAAATCCGCGCTCTGACAGCAAAGCAAAGAGTACTGCAGGAGAGCAAGAATACATCAGTACAATCGCTCTACTACATGCCAGTACCTCAAGGACAACGAACATACTATTCTCAATGCTACGATCAATAAATTCCTCCGTATGGTCACCATACAGACGCACAAGCACCGACTAAAAACAGCACAAACGTCACGAGTAAAAAGAACGCATCAATCAGCATCACATGATATCTATCAACCAAAAAAAGGGTGCAATTATCGTGCCTGATTTCTCCACAAGAGACGATAAAGGCGGTTGGTAATACCACCAACAACGATCTTAACCAAGATGTCATCGTTCTCGGCGTGTTTCCTACCGACACAATAAACCAGTTGTATAATTAAACACCCATCAATTACATTAATTCAATACTTTGCATCGCATTTTTCACCAATCAGAACAAATCTGCTTGACTACAAACTTGATATCATCAAACTCGTCCTTGTCTCCAGTTCCAACCGTATAATCCAAACAGGCATTTGCGTTATTGAGATAAATGACTAAAGACGTGACAGGATCCACACACATGTCACAGATGGACCAAACACCTCTTGAAAAATTATGTACTTGGTACCTTCTTCTGACATTTCTTCTTCTTTGTCCGAATCTTTACAACTTGAGGACACTGTGCGTGTAGATTGACGAGACGAGTGAAAGTAATGATTATCAAGTAATAAAAAGATACTTATGGCCGTGAGTGCACACGTAGTAACAGATACGAGAACGAGGGCACGCCAATTGAGATTGTCACTGCCAAGGTCGACTTTTGGCATTAATTTACGACGATTAATGAGCTGGAATGGATACGATTGGCGGGTAAATAAGAGCGATCTTTGATCCTAGCTAGTACTACTAATAAAGGGTATCAATGTCAGGTTAATTTCAGTCAAACTTTATTTTTACCTTTGTGCTCTTAAAACCGATGTAGCTCTAAAACCTTACAATTGTACCGCACTCGTACCGTGAATCTTTCACCGGTATCTTACTAAACCAATTTTTTATACAAAAATTATCTCATTTCATCTATTTTCGAAAAAAAGAAATTCAATTTTATTTTTGCCGCGCTTTTCCACACTATATATTATCCTTCCACAAGCCAATTCCCCATGGCCGACGACATCGTTCGAGTTTCTCCCCAGAAACTCGCTTTACAACTTCGTAGCAGTCTCTCTTCCCTTAAACGTGACGTTGCTACATCTTTTCGTCTTTGTAGTCGTGATTTTAGTCTTTTGGGTATCGAACTCGTGTCCGCATTAGAGCGTGGACGACATCGTGAGCGCGCATCGACCGACGCTTTGGCTCATGAACGCTCAGCTCGTGGCCTCTTGGAGACGAGATTGGCTGAATTACAGGGAAATATTCGTGTTTTGTGTCGTGTACGGCCCATGCCGACGACTTGTACGGGCTCGAGCGATGACGAGAGCGACGTGAGTCCCGACCGTCATCGTCGGAAACGTGTCCAGGTCGAATCAGCCCAAGAATTGAGCGTCTTTTCGCCTGTGGATGGGGCTTTATACAAGAGTTTTACATTCTCCCGTGTCTTCCATGACCATCACTCACAGTTGACAGTGTTTAAAGAAGTAGCACCTCTTGTACATTCAGCCATTGCAGGTCATCACGCGTGTGTATTTGCATACGGACAGACGGGCGCAGGAAAAACGTATACAATGCAAGGATCAGAGACTGATCAAGGACTCTATTATCGAGCTGCTGAAGTGATTTACACGACAGTAGCACAGCAACAACATGTATATGATTTTCAAGTACAGATACAAATGGTGGAGATTTACAATGAAGAAATTTATGACCTATTGGTCCAGTCAAGTGGAAGTAATAGTAGTACTATTATGACAAGTACTACGGCTACAGGTGGATCGCCTAGTGGCTGTCATGTTGGTGCTACTAGTATGTGTGGTAATGTGGCCAGTACTCTATCATCATCATTGACGGGGGAGATTCGACATGGAGAGAATGGAGTCTATTTGAAGAATATCCAGTCAATTACTGTATCAAGTGCTAAGGAACTTCATGATGTTGTAGCTCGAAGCAGCGCCAGTCGCACGGCGGCTAAGAACGGCCGGAGCAATCGTTCTCATACAATATTGATGATGGATATTCGACGAACGAGCAAAGCAAATGGAGAAACAGATGCAGGAAGATTAGTTCTCGTGGACTTGGCTGGCTCGGAGAGACTCTCGAAGACAGTGGACACCCCCGCATTGACTGTGCGTGAATCGCAACACATTAACAAATCATTGGCAGCAGTCGGTGACGTGTTGTCAGCATTGCTTGCAAAGGAGAAACACATTCCGTTCCGGAACTCGAAGCTCACGCATTTGTTGCAGGATTCACTGAGTGGTAGTGCCAACCGTACGCTTCTTCTTGTGCACGTGAGCCCCACAAGCGCAGATGTAAATGAAACCATCAATTCTCTCAAGTTTGCGTCACGTGTGAGCCATGTTAAGTTGGGAAAGCCACAACGTACTGAGCGCGCCGAGATCACACGGCTGAATGGGGTGGTAAGGATTGTCTATGACTCACTGCTGTTTGAAGAAGTTTGAGCTCACTCTTTTTTGCTACCTCCCGCAGGTTGCCAACCAAGTTTCCCAGATTCAGGCCCTCCAAGAAAAACTGACTGCAGAACTAGAGCTGCGAAAGAAGTACGAGAAACGACTGGCAGAGTATCGCCACGAGGGACACCGCCGTAGATCTAAAGGTGATGAGGCTAGGCGGATTTTACAGCAGCTGCAGACTCCGTCACCGCCAAAACTGCCGCCTCCGGTCTCTGCACGAAGGTGGAGTCTATACACGCGAAAGTACGGCAGATTGACGTGCCGTTTTAGCGCTCGATGCTTACTATATACTTGGCATATGTAACTAACTCGCATTGCGGGTTAATGCGTGAACAGAGCCAACGATGAAGGGCTGAATGGTATCGAGAACGTCGCCGAAAATATTCTGCGCGGCAATGAATCATCGCCGGAAACTGCAGAGGTCAGGATGACAAGTAATGGCAAGCCGAGTGGAATCTCCCCTCCGACAAATTTCTCGCGGCGGCTCAGCTTGTCCGCCTTGGATCAAAAGGTTGGGGACCCTGCGAAAACTCAGAAAAGGAAGCGATCGTCAGCATCCGAGAAAGTTCGAAGGTACGAATAGACCCGATGATTGTAAGCTCAGCGTTCTCGACTGACATGTGCGTGTTGGCCAGTATTCTGAAGAAGCAGCGTGGAACCGAAGACAACGTCATCGCACTTGGAGTAGATGGTTCAAGTGGCGATAACACTACAATGACGCCAAAGCAGGTCTCATTTGATTTGTCTCGAGCAGTTATCGGATCATCATCTTCGTCGCTGCCCTCTCGTGAGCTTAACACGGCTGGCGTGCCTCGGGTGTAAGTTTGCGTAGACGTTTTCTTGCTGCCTACTACCATGATCTGATTCACTCTGTTGCGTTGCAGTCCTGCCAGTGGAGCGGTGCGGGTTCTTGCAGCAACCCGGACTATATCGGGAGTGTTGCCAACGAGGGTCCCATTAACTCCCGGAAAACGTTCCAAGTCAAAGTCGATCGGATGGCGGTAAATAGTCTTCACCCCAGGACAATGAGAGCGCGAGCATTGCCCAAACATATGAGAAGAATGAATACCCAAGTAACGTTACGTATAATACAGTCAACCGCAAAATCAAACTTCGTGGCTTCATTTAGTTATTATCGTTGCAATGCCGTTCGATCTGGGTACTCTAGAATCGTTCAAACTTGTCCCGCTGTTCGACTTCGGTAGTCTCAATGTGTTCGATCGGTGTTTCTTCAGACGCTCTGCCCGTTGTGCAGCTTCGTCGGCATTGTCGACTTCATTACGTGCTCGTTGAAACACCTATCAGGTTTTACGTTACAACAAACCATTAGTTTCTTCGTTTTGCAGACAGATCAAGTTAACAACAACGTACCGTGCAAAACGAGGCAAGCGTCGTAAAGAACTCGGTCGGGTTCCGCTTCGGGTCTTCCCCAAAATAGTCGAGGACACTTGAAATCTCCTCTCTTGCTCGGTTTATCATGTCTCCCACTGTTTTCATTTTTGCCTCAATGTCAGCAGCAGCACTTTGCATCGACTTGATGGTGACTTCCAGCCCTAAGGTCTCTACCGCTTGCTGCACATCCAACAACACCAAACATGCTCGTTAGCTCATTCCTAACCAAATTTCGCAAAGCGCAAGTTTCAACAAACCTTTTCTAGAAGCCCAAGCTCAGTGTTAAGACTCGCCAGCCCTTTCTTCAGCTTCTTGAACTCCTTGTCAATCGTTTCAAAAGACTCCCTTGCTGCAAGAGGAACACTTTGCAACTCAGCCTGGAAATCAAGAACGTGTGGGTGATTCTTTTTCACAAGCCGGACTAAATAGTGCAACACTGTCGTCTTCTGATTTACAGCTTTCGTATTCCCTAACCGGAGCAATGAGTCGACAGTAAACCCTTTAATCCCATCTTCCTCTCCGCTTCCATTCAGTGTATTGCCTAGCTTGAGCACCATCGATAACAAAATTTTCAGTAGGCGGCTGCCCTTCACCTCTTCGCCGGCATTTTGTAAATGTGACAACGAAGTGACCAGCTCTGCACTGCGATAGGAGAAAGAAAGCTTGAACACCAAACACTCCATCCGAGGTCCATACCGTTTCACCTTAGCAATCTCAAGAATGAATTTTTCGGCCTGGTATCATATGCATAACCAGGGAACATGTTAGCGAATTCGAATAAACACAACCTCCTCGATAGGACGTACCTCGCCTAGCATCTCCTTATCTCCAGTATATCCACAAACTAGCGCCGCTTCCTCTGAAGTAGGCAGAAATTCGTTAATTCCAATAACTTGCTCAATTGTAAGACCACTTGGATCGAATTTCGCCACAGCTTCGGCGATTTCGCTGTAGGTAAGCTTGACTCGGGCCAACGAGATAGCAGCATTCATTGCGCGTTTCCCGTTAATCAACGTTACAGTCTGCTTGCACTTCAGAGCTTTACTTGGAGCTCGTAAGGAATTCTTCTTTTCGCTAACTGTGTTCTGATTCGCGAAGAAAAGAGCTTCGAGTTCATCCATGTCCACATCGAAATCAGCGTCCTCGTCCTCGTCTTCCCAAATCGTGTGCTGGTGAACATTGCTTAATCGTTCCTCCGAAATAGCTTGCCAGTGCAGCTTCTTACGTATACGTTGGGGTTTTACTGCTGCATCCTTCGCGTCCTTCGTATTAGCACCAGAATCCAACAGTGAAACAGTGGCGTCGGGGCCAAGCTCCAGCGCACGCACATCAATGTTCTCTATTGCCATTTTTTGTCGGACCGCACCTTCAGGAAGTCCCATTTTCAGCATCTTGAAATACTTTGCGTAAACTGGGTCGTCCTGAAGTTTAACATCCTTTCTTGGAGCAATTAGCGCCGAGACAAGTGCATCACCCCCGAGGTCAAGAGCACGCTCATCAATACCCTCGGCTATCATTTTTCGGCGGACAGCTTCTTCGCGAAGTCCCATCTTCAGCATCCTGAAGAATCTGGCATAGGTTGGATCATCTTGTAATTTTACACTGTTTCCACCCAGCGGTTCTTCCAGCTGTGATACTATAGCATCGCCGCCGAGATTCAAAAGTCTCTCATTCACACCGTCAGCCTTCACTTTTTGTCTAACAGCATCTTCCGGTAAGCCCATTGACAGCATCTTATAGTATTTAGCGTACTTTGGATCATCCTGTAGCTTCACATCATCCGCAGTTGTGATAGGGTCTTCCTCCTCTACAGTTTTAGGCAGCTGGGAGAAAGGTGTCTCACCACCTAAGTCTAAAGCGCGTACATCAACATTGTCCGCCTTCATCTTTTGGCGAACAGCATCTTCAGACAGTCCCATCGTTTGCATTTTAAAATATTTGGCGTACACTTCATGGTCCTTCAGCAAAACTTCAGATGCACGACACTTTACATTTCCATCTGTGAGCGGCTTCATGCATTTGATATCATCTTGAAGCCTTGAAACGCTCTGCTTGATCGAAATGTGATGCTTAACCTCGTCATAGATGGCATCGGGGCCAAAGTCCAGGATAGCTGGATCAAATCCATCCACGGTTAGCTTTTGTTTCACAGCTTCTTTTGGGCATCTCATCCGCAGCATTCGAAAGTAGCTAGCAAACATTTCCATGTCTTTCAGCTTCCTTTTTTGGCTGTCAAATGCTTTGTTGCTAACGTCGCCTATAGTGCCCTCGCTTAAACGCAGGGCTTCCAGTGTCGACGGATCGCCTCCGTCCTTCTGCATGCATTTCTGAACAGCCTCAAAGGGAACACCACGCTTTAGCATCATTGTGTACTTGCTGTCCACATTTTTTGCAGCAGACCTTTCGCTCGAATCACTTGACTTTCTTGCAGTATTTAACACTACAGCCTTCATATCTAATTGGGATGGTCCATATCGCGTAGTAAAAGTGGAAGTTGCCGATGCAAGGGCATTCGATGACGAGGAAGCCTTGATGCCTGGACTAGTTGCTCCGTTCATGAAGTCCCCAATTGACAATCCATTTGTCGTCAGAAATTTTCTCAGCTGATTGAGCACTTCTTGGGAATTTGTTCCGACAGTCGTTTCAGGTTTTCTATCTATAGCGGCGGACAGACTATCGCGAGTCTCACTCCTATCATCTGTGTCTGCAACATCTTCGGGATTAGTAGATAAGGTGCTGGATTTCCCGCCAACCCACGAAGAGGGTAGGTCTTCTTTCGAAAGCGGGGACTCCGGATCACATGCACCACATTCCCACGCACTGAGAAACTTCTTTAAGTATGCCGCATGGTTGGCACAATCACTCATAGTCGTCAAACCAAACGGAATCTTTCGCAGCCCCACGCACGTCGTGTGATAGTATCTCCCGCATTGACCCATGCACTGGACAATCTGAGGACGCATCATGTAGTCGTCCTCCTTACACGTATCACACAACGACGAGTGCAAAGCCGTTGGTATTGAATACCGCGAGCGTTGAGACTGCATGGCGACAATTTCAGCCGTCGTCTGACGACGGAGTCTGGGTTGAAGATAACTCTCAGCTGGGGGGTTCTTTAGTCTGATTGTCCTCGACAGGTTCTTCTACGTCTTTTGTGGCCGTGCTCTCCATTGCTTCTTGCACAAAACAGGCGGACACTCCGTTAGCATGTAATAGATCTAGCGCCACATTCGGGGCATTCTGGGAACATTGCAGTGCGAATGTTGTAGGTGTTTCGCAAAAACCCATGCGGATAAAGTTCGAGTACATGGATGGGTCCGGTAAAACGACATGGTGCTTGGTAATTTCTACCAAACCCTGGCGCACCGCACTGCTTCCCGAAAAGTCCATGTTTACTAGACTACTCGGCATCTTGGCGCTGTTTTCGTGCAACACCAGATCAACCGAAAATTGATCGTCGTCAAATCCATGCTCATACGGCTTCATCAGATCTAGATCGTGTTTCTTGAGCGTGACCAAGCCCGGCAAGAGAAAGAGTGTCGAGTCCACGTACCGAAAGAGTACTCTCGAGGACGCATCCAGATCGTCCACATTGTCATATTCCTCTCCAAAGGAACACAAGACTGAGAATCCTCCGTCCAACTCCACTCCGTTCTCCCAGAGAATGGCAAAGAAGCCGTCCTCCTCGTTCCAGTCCAACACGGGCACTTCTCTGCTCTCTCCAACGTGCAATGCGTCTGTACAAAAGACAAGTTTGTAATCGTCCCAAATTTGTACACACGGCTGTAGCTCCACCGGCAATTGTCGGAAAATGATGGCCTTGAGTAGCAACGGTTTGTCGTTTCGCGGCTTGTGTGTGGTCAATAGTTCATGAAAACTTGCGAGGAACCTTTGAATCGATGGTGGTGTTTTTTTCTTCAATGCCTGAGGCGTGAGTGATGTCATGTCCCACCGTTTCCTGTAAAATTCGACCAAAGCGTCAACGGGATCCTCAGCTAATCGTGCAAAGAGCAAATAACAGGCCACGACGACACCGCTTCTGGTTTTACCCGTTTGACAGTTGACAAGTGCTATATTCTTCGAGTCAATGGATAACCAAGCATCCAGTGCGTAGCAAATTCGAAACATGAGGTCCAATGGAGGCGTATGAGCTTTCATACCGTCTCGTTCCCAATAAAACTCGAGTATTTGTTCATGTAGTTTATCAACGATCGATTGATCGTCTCCATGTGTTTGAACTTCTGTAGTATCTTCTAATAAATTAAGATTAAAGAGCATAAAGTGGCTACGATGAAAGTTATCAAGATACTGCACCAAGTCATTCACATTAACGACATTTTGCTTCTTATTTGTGATTCCGTCCGAAGGTGTACCCATGACTACAATTCGTTTCGTTATAAAAGTGAGGTCCAAAGAGCAAATATCAGGTAATAATGATAATGATAATGATGATGATGATGATGATGATTGTGGTTGTAAATGTTTAATACGAAGACGATGAACAAATCCCGTTTCATTCAATACAAAACTTGTCAGACGTCGGAGAGACTCCATTTTTTTTAGAGAAGAAAAAAGAAAATGACTTTGAAGTTCGTTTAGAAAGTGAAATGTAGCCATGTTGGTGGACTTGTGTTGTTTTGTGACCTGGTTTTGTGACCTTATTGCGAAGACCCACTCAATTCAACGTTACTATAGCTGCCATTTTTAATCTTCTTTAGTGTTTCTCAAGAGTGATTTTACACTAAAGATAGGGATTTATTGACTAAACGACTGGGCAAACTTTAGCAAATGCTCGTGATGCAAATCGTAAAAACCTGCAACCATTTTTTCCTTTTCTTCAGTGTCTACCTCATACAACTCATACGTTTTTTCATCTTCTTCTCCATCTTTACTGCGAGACTTTATGTGCTTTGTCAAGTAATTGATTGAGTGCATCATAATCATTACAAAACACTAAACTCTCTGTAGCTCTCTTTTATGCTCTTAAAAAAGCTTTGTCACTTCGGCTTGGTCTTATCTACATCTTTAGCAGAACAACGGCGTCTATTAGAACACACGTACTAAAAATACAATTCCGTTTCGACTGCCAAAACATTATCTTATGCCTGATCATTCATCACAGTCGTAGCACACGTCCAAATATTAAATGAGCTACGAAGACGACATCATCACTTGAACAAAGTAAAACTCAAGCAAATAATTAATTCACAGCCTAAAGTTAAGACACTTATAAATTTAATTGGTCAAATTATAATCATAAAAAGTCTTTATATTTCGTACTTACGGTTAATTCTTTGCTGGCTTCGTGGCATAATTGTAACGTCAAATACCTCGTCATGACGAGCTCGTCGTCCTCCTCATGGATCTCAAAGCTCCGGGGATTAGACGCCTACCCCAAGACAATTGAGGAATTCAAAGTGCGCACATTACAGGGCGGTCTTTTTTCTCTCTTGTCCTTTGTATGTATTGCGCTCCTCTTAGTGTCCGAATTAAATTTCTACTTTACAACGGACACGGTGGATAAAATGGTTGTAGACGGTGAACGTAATACAATGGTATCAATTAATTTTGATATTGAATTTCCACGTATGCCTTGCTCTGTCGTGGCAATTGAATCGATGGATATGGCTGGTAACGTCCAGCATGATATTGAACATGATATTGAAAAGACGGCATTGGATCGTAATGGTCACGCACTGGCGGAAGGAATGCGTGATGTTATTGGAGGTGCTTTGACGAATCATACGGAGTTAAAACAGGAGGTGGCCGACAAGTAAGTGATTTGGTCTGATTTGACCTGATCTAGATGGACTAGAAACTGAGATATTGGAGATTGGAGACACTTGACTGAGAATAGTGTGACGTATTGATTAGGCCTGTGTGTGGTAGCTGCTATTCTGCTGGGATCCCGGGAGAGGTACTGAATAAAGATGTACGTGTCTTCACTATAAAGTTGAACTAATTTGTTTTGGGATGCATTCTGTTTCAGTGCTGCAACACGTGCGAGGAAGTAAGGACGGCGTACGACCGAAAGGGTTGGCTAATGCCAAGTCTTCATACGATTGCGCAGTGTCAACAATCGCAGCTTGAAAAGGTTCTTCGTGGAGAAGTGGACGAAGGATGCCGGATTAAAGGCTCACTTGTTGTCTCCAAGGTCCAGGTCTTTTTTTCTCATTGAGAAACTGTCTTTGAATAGCTAGACTGACAATTGATGCTCGTGTAATCTAGGTTGCGGCCAAGTTGTACTTCGCTCCATCCAAATTCTTCAGCTCGGGATACGTGTCGACGAAGGATCTGATGAACGCTACTTTCAAGGTCTTTGACACGTCACACACTGTTCACTCGCTGTCTTTTGGTGAAGCATATCCAGTGAGACATTCTTGACTTCATATTGCGGTCAGTTACAATGTGGATCTCTTGCTGATGTTTTTTTGGCACAACGAACCTTTCGCAAAACAGGACATGATTAATCCACTAGACAACCGCCAAAAGGAACTGCCGGATTCGGCGACTCGTGGCTCCTTCCAGTACTTCCTTAAGGTGATTATTTGTCTGCGGTGACTTGCAGTGGGTTGGCATTAATATCTTCTTGCGTTATTAGGTGGTGCCGACGGAATACACGTTCCTATCAGCGAGCCGTATCATTACAAACCAATTCTCGGCTACGGAGCACTTTCGCGAGCTTACGCCTGTGAGCGACAAGGGTCTGCCGAGTACGTATATGTATTTGCTAGCCAGATTACACGTGCATAGCTCTGAAGACTGACCAGCTGATCGTACCTCGGATCTGCAGTGGTCTTGTTCAGCTACACGTTTTCGCCTATCATGTTCCGCATTGAGCAATACCGTGTGGGCTTCCTTCAGTTCCTCACAAGCGTCTGCGCTATTGTGGGTGGCGTCTTTACAGTACGTTGTTGCAACATTGCCGTAATTCTTTGACGAAGGACTCACTTGATCGCACGCGTATGTGTTTGTTGTAGATTCTTGGTATCATGGACTCGCTTGCTTTTGGGCTTTTGAACAAATCCAGCAACGCCTCACTGCTATAAGTAGTTAGCGCTTATCCTCTCAATGTGACACGAGAGCTTTTTCTTGCGTTATTAGTATGAATGGCTCAGTTTAAAGCCATTGCAAATCAAATGCAAAATTGACAATGCCCTCGAAAACCGATATCCTCAATCTTGACGACTTTTTGTTGTTCAAAAAGAGTCAAATTTCGAGTCCTGTCACATTTTTTTTCCATGTATCCCATTATCACTCTCTTAAGTGCGATCTCACTCGCCGTACAAAATAATACAAAAGTCATGGGAGCTGCTTATGAGGCGTTGGCAGTGACACAAAGTGCTCAACTATATCTCCTAGTAGGAGTTTTAGGATTTGTTATCTATCTCGTACTCGTACTTTCTTTCTTTTTTGTACCAAATATTAAAGCACAACATCCAGCAGCCGATCTTGTCGTATGGCACGCAGGATGTGGTTTTATGACGTCCGTTGGGTTCATTTTGGGTTTTGGATTCTTACATGACAATGACGACAAAGAATTATTGCAATGGCAATGCTCATTTCTTGCATCGTTTAATCAATTTTTCTTCCTGGCGGGTGCTTTTTGGTACCTTATGCTGACATTGGACCTACTTGTGGCACTTGTAAACCCCTGGATGGGATACAGTTGCAAGTCGTGGACATATCATACCATGTAAGAAGATTTTACAAGTATTTTGAGACTAGATTTACTCATTAATTTTTTGTTTTTATATGCTTGATATTGTAGAGTTTGGAGTGTGAGTGCCGTCTCAGCATTACTGCTACATCAGCTCAAACTCTTTGGTCTCTCGTCACTCAATATCTGTTGGGTGAAACGCACGAAAGACCCAGCACAAGTGAATATGGCCAATTGGTTCTTCCTATTTGCAGCTGTGGGTGGCATTTGTCTCTTGTCACTTGCTGTGCTGCTGTTCGCGAGTTTTCGCTTTGTAAGACGACAACTGGATGTCACGTATCGTGCCAAGCGTCGCAATCTGATCCAGTACTACCGCTATCTCTTCATCTTTGCAGGCCATTGGGTCGCGTGCGGTGCACTGTACTATGCTGCATACCGTCAGGAGTTTGACGGCAGGATGGCCAAACAATTTGAGCTTGCATTTGCGCTGGTCTTTGGGTCATACCCTGCTCTGCTGCTTATTGTATGGGTACTGAACACTGAGTTATACCAGAATTTCTCCAGCGAGAACAACCTCTCCAGATCAGAGCGCGGTGCTAGCGACTTGACGAATACGGAGCATTTTAGTGCTGCTCTGCGAAAAGACCTAATGCGGTACACGACTGCAGGGATTCGTTGCAGCATCAGCGAGTCCCCTATAGATAGCTTACGCTCCCCGTTACTTAGTCTGACACGAGACCGTTTTGGATCATTAGATCGCACTGCTGCACTGTCTTTTTTGCAAATGGAAGAGGGCGGATCGGCCGGTTTGTATCACGAGAAGAAGCGGTTGGCAACCACAGTGTACAACGGCGAGTATCGGTACTACGAGAAGTTAGGTTTCACCGACTATGCGCCGAAAGTGTTCCAGAACATTCGGGAGATCTGTGGCATCGACAACGAAATGTACGAGCAGTCATTTGCAGACACGCTGCTGGAGCGCGCATCGGAGGGCAAGTCAGGGATGTTGTTTTACTTTACGAGTGACCGCAAGTACCTGGTGAAGACTATGACGAAGAAAGAGCACTCCTTTCTACTAGAGGTGCTTCCACTGTACCACCAGTATATTTTGAAGCAGCCGAACTCGCTCTTGTGCCGGTTTCTTGGCTGCCATTCGATGCAACTACCTGTTGGATGGAACAAAATGTTTTTTGTTGTAATGAAGAACATATTTCCGGACGGGCCGGTTGACGAACGCTACGACCTAAAGGGAATATTTCACCAATCCAACTTCAGGTACCAGGAAGGTGTCCCAACACCGGTGTCTAGTGACTGGAGCCGGAGTGGCAGGGAAGAAGAAAGAGTTGCGCACACGTTGGAAGAAGACGCTACAGAGTTGAGCGAGAGCCATAGTGTGGAGAGTGACTTGGAACATTTTACAGAGAAGCAGCCGCTGCTGCGCCGTGGCAGCTCGCGTCCTTTGCTCCGCTATGATAACGATTTTGTAACTCGCCGAGCTTCACTTCGTGTGAATCCTACAACCCGTGCGAACTTGCTTGCACAAGTAACTAGCGATTGTGGATTTCTTCAAGAGCTAGGAATCATGGACTACAGTTGTCTCCTCGGCATTCGAAACTACAACTATCACATTGAACCCGAGATTATGGATAATCTTGCACATAATGCCGTTGTTTCGGCCGATCAGTCTACCGTTTACTACCTGGGATTCGTGGATATATTGCAACATTACAATATTGGATGGAAAATGCAGCATTGCTTGCTGGCTACGGTAGTGGACAAGCGACGAATCACGGCGCTTCCTCCTGCTGAGTATGCACTGCGATTTTTAAATTTCATCCACGAGTATCTGCTGCGAGACCTAGAAGGATCACAAGTTCGTTCATACGGGAGCATAGGACACTCGCCCTCCAATTTTTTTATTCGCTAGGAGCGATTACAAGTATGTGGTGTGCAGCATCTCATCGTCAATAGTCGTGAAGAGAACCAAGTAGATAGGTAGGCACATACAAGTTGCATCAATCAAGAACGTGGCTGAATGCAGCGACAACTTGGACGTAGAGGTACAAAGTACGCGTATGACCGGTGCACGGATCTCCGCTACCACTGTGCCTCCAGGCTGCTTGGCCTATTGACATAAAATTCATGTCCAGCTACCTGCATTGGCGAGCAATTACGCGAAACCAATGGCACATCGTGTGCAACGTTAGGTAAGGACCTTGTATGTGCTCACATTCCAGCTTTTTGTTAAGAAGCACGTACCGAAGATGGTGAGAGAGAACGCCGCCTTCTCAGTAGGGTACGATGGTATCTCCACGACAACTTACAGTGACGATTGTTCGAGTGCGGAGCAATTGTGACAATGTGGCAGTAGCATTTTCGGGACATGTAGCGATGGTCTGCAGATCTGACAAGATACTCTACAACCAATTTCTGTCTACCGAGGAGTTCTTTTGTCATCTTGCTTGAGCAAATATAAGACACGTGAGTAACATGCGCGTCCTCTACAATGAGCTGACCGGCACGAACAACGCAGCAGAGGACGAAGGCCCTGACTTGCTTCATGTATCTGACGAAACACTTGAGAATTTGCTCCGGCGCTTCCGTATCTGCACATGTGATCCGTGTAACCATGCAACTATAGAAACGCTGACTAATTACTATACCTGCGGCTCATTGAGCAGAAAAGTAGTGCTCACTAACTTGTAATCGACGAAGCATCAAAAGAGCGGTGGCCTGCAAAATCACGGTGTCCATTTTTCAAACTTTCGTACAAAGCGTGGTAGTCTAGAATCATTCTTGTCCGAAATTCAATATCATCGATAACTTCGCATGTCTGATGGGGAAGTGGCCAACAAAATGGTAGCAAGTGGCGACAACGTATTATCTATCTTTGATAGCAAGAGATTAGGCTTTGTCGAAACCCCACTGTTCAGCGCGCAGCTGCTATCTCTCGATACTGCCACTGGCACGACCTGCTATAGCAGCTCGGAGATGAAGACGATTGATATAATGACACCAATCTCCAGGTACAAGCTGTCACGTAAAGGACACTTTTATCTTCCTCCATCCATGACGTTCTCATTCGCAATAACAGTTGCATTCTGCAGAAGACGCCTATTGTACGTGTTGGTAAATTACAATTGGACCGTCGCATTAGATCAGTACATCCCTGATGCCACGTACTATCAAGACGCTGTCGACTTGCAACAACGCGAAACAGGAAAAAGAAACAGTCCCGCGATAAAGCTAGAGCGAAAATCACGCATAGATCGAGGAGCAGATACCGATTAGAGGTGTTCATATTTCTTTCTTGGTCCAGTCACCAAACATGTGCTGATAGTCCTCTATTTGGCGCTAAACAACGTCGACAGAACAGAAGCTCGCAGTCAGTAGATCACCTACCGACCAAAAGCGCATCCTAAAGCATAAGAATCCTACTTTAAGTTGGTTGTTTTCCTCCAAAAGACGAAGGTATGTTTTTGCCTGGTTATCTGTCTGACGCTTGAGAGCTCTAGTCAGCAGACAAACAAAGGTCAGGGACAGCTTAGTATGGAAAAGAGCAAAAAAACAAGAGCGTAACCCACTCAAGCTCTTTATCTCTTTGTTGAGCCTCACCCACGGCCCCTCGAAGACAGATTTCAAGTCCACGGGCGTAGGCGTCTGCTGCTTTTTTGTATGAAGCCAAGCCATACAAAGCCTTCCCCTTCCTTGAGTAAGTCTTTGCCCAGTCTGGATCCAGTGTAATGGCTTTAGCAGCATCTTCTTTTGCCTGCTGAAATTGTCCCAATGCACAATACGCAGCTGATCGATTGCTATAAAGAGTGGCAGTGGGGTTTTCATTGATACCCAACGAATATTCACGAATGGCCGCTTCATAATCTCTCAACTTAAAAAATTCGTTACCGCAATTCTTATGTCGTGAATCGTCTTCTCGAGATGGTGCACTACGGCCCTGAGGAGTTGATGAAGACAATTGTACGCTTACGGCCGGTGTAGCTGAAGATGACCCAAATAACCAGTCCATGGCCTTACTGATACTTTAGCTAAAACTCAAGGACGACATGACACTGTTTTCAGCCAATAAAATGCCATTGTTGTAGGATATAGGATGACTTAGGACAGCTCTAATTGTAACAAATTACATAACATTGGAACATTACATTATGTGCCAATGTGAATATTTTCTTAGCTAATAAGATTCAATAATACTATCTCAGCTACCTATATATTCGACAATATTACCTTTCGAGATAATACTGTCGTCGTCAGAATTGGAAAATGCTCTCTGATTACTTGATATGGGCCATTATATCAATCAACGCGCTGACTAATGAAGGATGGACGCGCGCAATGATTGGTTGGTCAAGCTGATCACCATGCGCAGCGTGACATACTTGACAACAGGGGAGAACGTCTCTGTGTAGTCAATTCCATACTTTTGCTTGAACCCTTTTGCCACAAGGCGTGCCTTATATTTCTCGATCGATCCGTCAGCTTTGCGCTTGATTTTAAATACTTACTTGGTACCAATAGCGTGCTGATCTGTTGGCAGTTTGGCAGCTTGAAACACATCGCGAAGCTGCATCAAATTTAATTCGGCGCGGATCGCCTTTCGCCAATAAACTTGATCTGGTACACCAACAGCATCTTGAAAGGTCGTCGATTCACACAAGTCACTTCCTTCGACTGCATTAGCACTTGCTCGCCAAAAGGCAGGGGAAGTGGAGTCGCTTCTCTCTTCATCCAGATCAGTTCGAGCCTTAAGTCGTAGCTTTACTCGATGCGCCACGGAGTCATCTGGCCCACTTGCTTCCTCCAATTCAGTCTTCCGACAGGCTTGATCTTCATCGGAGGGTCGACTTTTGCGCTTTCCTGTTTGCCTAAATTCAGTTTGACGACAATTATTACTGATATTCAGGGCATCAAAATCCAGCGTAGTGTCTTCAGCGATTTTTTCTGGGAGCATCGGCAAGAATCCAAAATTCAATTTATCAAATGTGACGTCGCGAGAAACCACCACTTTCCCCGCCTCGATGTCATAGATTCAATATGCCTTTGACACTTCTTCGTATCCCATGAACAGTCCTTGACTAGCCTTGGTGTAACGGGCTAAGGACCCGTTACCGTCTTTCACTAAAAGGGGGTTGAGGAAGCGCTCTTAATTATCTCGTAAATATACCTCTATTTGTTTTTGTTTTTGTTTTTAATTCGCAGTAAGTGCGAATATGTTCCCTAGCTCATGGGAACCACTCAATATGGAAGTCAATTTATTATTGGCTAATTATTGGGTCTGGCACCCCAATAATAAACCAATAATAAAATGACGCGCAGTATCCGCTAATCGGATACTGCCCTATGCCTACTTATGTAATTATGTATTAATCCTATAACTACTTTTGTAAATAGGTTGGCCCATTACATCACCCCCCCCCCCTCTTTAAGTTGCGCTTACCTTAACGTTAGCGCGAAACGCAGAAATTTTCTTCTCGACCAACGGCGTAACTCCGAACCTGCTCAGTTAGACTTAACTAAGCAGCATGGACCCTAGGCGTCCACGAAACAATGTCTCTGACAACCAGGTCTGGGAACACCAAGCGACAATCCGTAGATAACAGGCGCCGCAGGTCATGGATGAGGACGAGTATCACCTTTGTTACTTCCACATTCGTGAGGGATGTCCAACGTGCAACGTGGGCAGATCGCGACCGGTCCGGCACGAATGGGACGACTTGGTGTGTGCGCGAGGCATGCCCGATCATATTCGTCCATGGATTGCCCGTTATGAGAGAACCCTTTCGGATCTCCAGGTGTCCGAGCTACGGCGAGTGAGAGCGCGACCTTACGATCGCCGAGGGCATTCACGTAGCCGAAGTCGTCAACCGTATCATCCATATGCTCCCGAGCCTCGTAATAGGTCTCGGTCTCGGAGTCGCTCGGGAGGTCGTCGTGGTTTCGTTGCTCGCGAGCATTACGGCTCGCGAGATCGGGGATGGAGCCGGCAGCGTCGGTCGCGATCATCGTCTTTCTACGGGACTCGTAGTCCTCGACCACGTCCGGGACATCTTGGGACAGCGTACTCGATGGCTCCCATGTATCGTCCGCCGGGGAATATACCAACCAGCGAACCCTGTAATGTTTCTCGACATGCTTCTTCATGGGCGCCGAGTTATTACTCGGCGCCTGGGACTTGTGATCCTCGTGATCGACAATTCGGTCGACAATCCAGCGTCGCGCACCCGAGGCATCAATTAAGGGAGGAGGAGCATCACGACGGAAGACCTCTGGCGATGAGCGCCGATTCTCGTAATTGGGCGCCTGTAAAGTCGAATGATGAGCTGCGCCTACTCCGCGCTGAAGCCGAGGAGTCGAAGAATGCCCTACTTGATGCTCGCGAGATGGCTGAGAGAGCTCAAGATCGTGCGGATGCTGCGACTGAGGCTGCTGAGCGGACTCGACGTGAGCAGCTGGTACTGGTTGAGCGCCTACGTCAACTTGAGACGACTGCGTTCGGGGAACCCCAGCAGATCGAGTCTACACGCGTTCAGGTAGGACTTGGTCCCAGTCGTCGTCAACGTCGTCGTCAAGGATGTCGAATTTCGAGCCGGCACAGAAGAGCGGGGAAGATTCGAAGGGAGATCCGCCGGCAGGTAAGCCTTGAGGCGCCCGACGTAGAACGTCGGGTGCAAACGCATAGATGTAGGTATGTCTAGCGTGTAAGCGTCACCATGCACCTTAACAACCCGAAATGGGCCAATATATTTGTGCGCTAACTCCCAAATTCGTCACTGAGGTGTTCGGTAATTTACTTTTTGATAACAATACTTTGTCACCTTCTTGAAATGTCAACATATTCTTTCGACCTCTTCTGTCTGCATTCTCCTTTTGCTTATCGACTGCCTCTTGTAATGCATCACGCACAAAACGCGTGATTCCTTGTCGTAATAGTAGGAATTCGGTTACTGCAGCCGAACTTACAGGCGACGTATTCTCTTTAGGGCAAAATTAGCAACGGGAGACGCGATGGAATGCATCGCGTCAGGAGTCGATATACCGTTGGCCACAAAATTACCAGCATTAGGTGCATCGACAGCAACCTCATTCGCATCGTAATCAATCATCAATAGTTTCGGCGCAATTCCATCCGTAGATACTCCCTCACCAAGCTTGGAGACAGGGTGTTCTGAAGCTGAGAGAGCAAGCAGCGCCGGAACGCGAGGATGACTCGCGTCGTTAACGAAAAAGGGCGTCAACCCGGTTGACGCATGGACAGCATTGTTGATTGCAAACTCGGCAAGTGGAAGAAATGAACTCCATGACGAGAACGATGTTGCATAACTTCGCAAGACATCTTCGAGCACTCTGTTCACGCGCTCCGTTTGCCCATCCGTCTCTGGTAGGGCCGCCGTAGACATAAGCAACCGCGTGCCTAATAGCTGGAATAATTTGGCCCAGAAAGCCGAAGTGAAACGCGGGTCACGGTCCGAAACAATATATTCTGGCAAGCCGTGATGCCTAAAGATAAGATCAATGAAGATCTTCGCTGTCGTCTCCGTTGTATTGTGGTGAAGTGCTAATTTTGTGATGTGGAGGTCCCAGACTCCAGTTGGATTTGGAGTATAGGCCGTGGGTCAGGGACAGGGGACCAGAGAGACAGGGGCCTCGAAGGGGAGCGACCGTTGGTGGAGGACAATCCGCAGAGACCGCCGAAGAAAAATCAGTATCAGGGTACCGGTTAACCGGTACCAAATGGGGTTGATCATGGCCGCTCATTGATCGACCTGGCCCCTCGTTGGTAGACCCGGGTCCCTCATAGGTCGACCTGGGTCCCTCGTTGGTCGACCTGGGTCCCTCATCGGTCGACCAGGTCCCTCATTGGTCGACCCGGTCCCTCATTGGTCGACCCGGTCCCTCGTTGGTAGACCTGGGTCGACCCAGTCCCTCATTGGTCGACCTCGGCCCCTCGTCGGTCGACCCGGTCCCTCGTTGGTAGACCTGGGTCCCTCATCAGTCGACCCCGGCCCCTCGGGGCTCAGCCACTCCGGACCAGTTAATACAAGGATAAGACTAGTCGATGCAAGGAATCAGAGCTTCAGGCAAGGATAGAGTAAAGGAGTTAAAAGGATAGGACTATATTAAATACTACTCAATTTGCGATCTACGTGGCACGACTTCGTCACCCAAGAAGGACTTGTTCTAAGTTACTCACTGTTCCGGGAAGGGATATATATTGGCCCCCCGTCGAAGACAGTTGCGTAGCGAAGTTCAAGGGCGAATAGAGCTCCAGGATATATTTGGCCTGTGAGCTCGTTCGAGTAGCAACACCCCCCAAGACCCGCTATCGGAAGCGGTCTCCCTCACCTCAAGGTCCGGGAGCAACGTAAAGGTCAGGTGGTTAATACCCCTGAAACAGAAGGAAAAGGCCAGGGACGACAAGCGCCCCTGAAGAATTTGGCTCTAAGCTCACTCTCGACAAGGTCGATCGAGTGGCCACCTACCGGCCCACCGAGTGAAGCATCTCCACTCGAGGCCCCCCAGGTCTACCTCCCTCAAGGCAGACATCTACATCGTCACCAAGTCCTCCGAAGAGTGCAACCCCCAGCCGACGGGTACACAAGGTGAGAGAAGGTTCATACGCGGCATCGGGGTACCCCCTCCGACAGTCGGCAGTCCGGCACAGTGAGTGGTTTGGGGTCTCATCATACAATTTTGAGAACGCACTCCACCACAATGGTGCGCGTGCCCGGATCTTCGGAAGACGCGGGATTTCACCGCGAGTCCCAAGACGATAAAGATGTTCAAGTCAAGAAGGAGCACAAGACCGAAGAGTCACTGGAAGACCGATCGCCAGTGACTCAAGAAGAAACAAACAAAGGATCGAAGGACCGACCGGGCCTTGGGAGGGGCCCGGTCAACATGGTCGAGGTTGAATTTATTGAAGAAAAACCTAAATACCCTCCCTATGTCCTCGTTGAGGACACCTTGGGTCATGACGCCTATCATGATCCAGAGGACCATCAGCCGACG